CATTTATCATATTTTCTTGCAGTTGAAATATTCTAACTTACATTTGGGCCATTTGATTACAATTTTGCTTAAAAAAACAAAGGAAAACAAATACTAGACAGATGATTTTTTTTTAAAAAAAGTGACTTTTAATAACCCTTGGGTTCATATTAATTAATTATAATAAATTGATTTGGTGTCTGCTATTAAGACAAGTCATAGGAAGCCAGAGTTTCAACCTGTACATTTCAAAGGTTTTCTTTAGTTTTTTTCTGTGTTCTTTTCCATTCATTTAATTGCATAAACATTAAATGGGTATATTGTTATTTTAAAAAGAAGTGCACAAAGTGAGACATTCAGAACAAGATGTAAAAGACTACTTGTCAAAATTTATTGTCCATCTTTCTGGCCTTTCTCTTGTCATGTATAAATAATGTTCTATTATACATGCAAATAAAGTAATATTTCAGTGTTCTATAGGTTGATTTATAAATTGTCTTGGAAAGATTTTTGTCAGTTCATTCTTGACTATTCTTTATAACTGTTGCTTACTGTTCCATAGTAGACTGATATTACCTGTCTGTATTTATTTGATATATTAATGGGCAGGGGCTTTTCTGCCCTGTTTTACTTGTTACTCATACTTTCAATGCTGAAATGTATTGATTTTTCTATGACTTTTGTGCTTTCTATTTCCCTGTCACCATATCAAATTCAAATCCTATTCTTTTCTTTCCAACTCTGTTCTATGTTGGCATTGTAAAAAAATTATGGTCCAAATTTGTTTTTCTGAACCAATCAGTCTTAATTATTATATACCGGTTGTATATATTTGATTCACAAATCTAGTGATTCATATTATGTGCTCATTTAGTGATATACAAAGTAAATCAAATTAATATTCACTAGCTATGTTATAAAGTGAGAATTCTGAAATTTTTCTCTTACTGAAGAAATTCCTGTAAAATCTAAATGTCTTGTTTAGATTTAAAGACATTTGTAGCCAGGCATTGGTGGCTCACACCTATAATCCTAGCTACTTAGGCTGGGATCTGAGGACCAAGGTTCAAAACCAGCCCGGGCAGGAAAGGCCGTGAAACTCATCTCCAGTAAATCACCAGAAAACTGGTGGTAGAGCTCTAGCTTTGAGCTGAAAAGCTCAGGGACAGCACTCAGACCCAGAGTTCAAGCCCATGACTGACAAAAAAAAAGATATTTATAGTTAAAATTATAATAATGTGAAGGTGTTTAAGAAGAAAAATTTTAATAAATACAGTCTTTCTTCACTAAAAAACCTTAGTTTGTTCTCTAATGAACACTTACTAGAGTGGTAGGAGAAACATTGCAGAAGTTGGTTGTCAGCAACAGAGAAGAGGAGGCAAACAAGATTAAGACAAGTGGTTGTTATGACCTCATTGGAATATAAAGGTCTCAGGATTGAGAAAAGATGTCCTCCATTCTATTTCTTTTATTTGTTTGAACCTGATGAATGTCCAGTGAAACAATTGAGTGGTAATTTAGAGGTGGAGATGACAAAGAACAATGTTTGAATCTGACTAAAACACTGTATGCTTTTTTTCTTTGCTGATTCACAGAAAGTAATTTAAATATAGCTTTGAAGACATCCTGTATTCCTCATTGAATGAAACAAGTAATTCTGCCAACTATGATTTTCAGGTTGATAAAGCAGTATAAGGTTTTTTGTATAGAGTTACAGGCCTGCGGTTAGACTAGGCTATCATTTGCTGTTCAGCACTGAGGGAGCTTTGTAGATAAAATTCAAACTCACAGGTGAAATTTAGAAGTGATTCAATTTTAGATGAGTGATATTCTTACATAGTTAATTCTGTTCTCCTAAATTTGTTTCTACTTTATGTGATATAGATATGTGTGTATATCATACATATTAACCATATCCATATATGTATATATATTTTCTTAAATTAATGGGAAATATTTAAATGTTAACGGGAACTTTATTTATTTAAATTAATTGGAAAATTTACAACATATAAAGATGTTCAGAAAATGTAACTTACTACCATGTATCTATCAAGTGGCTTAAACGGTCCATCTTGTGGCTAATCTTGTTTCATCTGTACTTTTACCTCCTTTCTTTCTCCAGATCATTTCAAAGAAATACTGAAACATATCAATTTTATGTAAAAATACGTTAGAATCTACCCTGCAAAGAAATTCTTTAAAAATCTGAATCGTAATAACCATTATAGAAGGAGCATCTCTTGTCTGTACCCCCTCTGATCAGAAATCATTCAGATTTCAGCATAAGCGTCACTGGTTGAGTGCCCTTTTCTTTAGGTTTGTTTGATTGTCATCATTAGAAAGACATTGTGCATTCCTGGGAAAAAGTCAGTTCAGGTTTTAAACCCTTCCCAGTGTTTGATGATCGGGAGCTATGTGAGAGCAACATAACTCTTTACTTGTGATGTTTACCCTAATCAGTTGGTTGAGGTGGTATTTTCTTGGTTTCTTCATTGTAAAGGCATGAGTTTTTCAGTCTTCTAAGACTGAGGTTTTATAGTTTTTCATATTTTGAATTTTAATGATCACTCTGATGGGAATGTTTAATACTTTATTATATCTCCTGTTCTTTCTGTAAATTGAGTTTGAAGTAGATGTTTATTAGGTACAGTTAAATTTTTTTTGGTATAGGTGATAGGTACTTCTACATAAGATTATTAAAAATGGATTACTGTTATTAATTATAAATACCTGAAAGAGGAACTTACAAAGAAAGAATTTATAAACACTGGCATTGTCTCAGAGATTATTGATGCATGTGTAATCATTTTTCTTTGTTTTTTATGAGTGGATGGATGATTTCTCTTGATATGGTTTCAAGTTTATAAATCTTCATTCTTCATCTCCAGTCTGTTATTAAGTGATTTTTAAAAATTACAGCTGTGTGTTTTTTTAATTCTAGAGTATATTTTTGGTTTGTAGAGTTTCTTATTCTCTAATGAGATCTCTCAAATGCTTATTTTATGGCCATATTTTCTTTTATATACTTGAACATTTTTTTTTTTGTAGTAGCTTCTTTAAAATCCTTTTCTGCTGATTCTACTGTCTGGTTCACGTCATAGTTCTAGTAATTTTGGACTTGTCCCTGAATCATTATCCTTCTGTGTTCTTCCAATGTGTATTTTATGTTTTATTTTAGCAAATAATTAAATTGAATTCAAGCTATAAACTGTGTTTTCTTTGCCAAAAGAGCAACTGAAGTATCTATTTTGCTCATCTTGTTTTTGCTAGGTAGCTTGACTCCATCCTGACATGCATAGTTGAGGGTGAGCTAGATTTTTTTTTCATTTTCTTTGTAGAATTTGAGGTCCTCCATCAGTAGCTCTCTTTTTTCTCCTTTTCATTTTACAGTTGTTGTAAATATCCCAAACTCCTCTGATACCTCATTTGGTGCCACTACTGATTACTGTCCAAATTCTAGTTTCTTTTTAAGACCAAATGGTATCTTACTTCAGAAAGGATGGAGGGAAGGGGGCGGGAGAGTGGAGGAGGAGCTAGGGTACTGGTGGCTCATTCCTGTAATACCAATTACTCAGGAGGCTGAGACCTAAGAATTGAGGTTCAAAGCCACGAGGAGCAGTTGAATTCTCTAGACGCTCTTACCTCCAGTTAACCAGCAAAAAGCCAGAAGTAGAGGCATAGCACCCTAGAGCACCCTAAGTCCTTGCACAAACAAAAACAAAAAGAACTAATCCCTTTTGCTGCTTTCCAAAATTCATTGAATAGACTTGACAGTAAACCATATATTTTGTTTATGAATTCAGTTCAATTATATTGTTTTGAAATTCATGTGAACCTTCCAGTTTTGCTCTTATTCAAGATTATTTTTAGGTATTCAAGACCACTTTATATTTATGTGAATTTGAGAATCAGTTTTTCATTTCTGCAAATGAATAACTTCTTTATGGCTGCTTTTTTAGGTTCTGCTTTTAAGAAATGCTGGTATATAGACATTTAGTTCATTTGCTAATTCTTTATAGGTCACTGTTTGCATAAATTTCAGAGTACTTGTGAAGTACAGTTAGATTGCTGGTAAGGCGATATTTCAGTGAATATTCTTATGCATACTATTTGTTAACAACCAGAGGTGATTTTGCCTTGCAGGGGGCACTAGCAATGTTTTTAGACATTTTTGACTACGAAGGTTAGAGGGAAGGGTGTTATTGACAGGGCTCCTGTGAGACATCCTGCAATGCAAGAAAAGCTCCCCTGCTCCACAACAAAAAATTACCCAAATTACCAAATATTGCAGCAGTCCTGAGAACTGAGAAATCTTAAGTATCTAGGGCATTACTTAGTAGAATTTAGAAAGTTAGTAGTATGTGCAATGTTGTTTTGCTATTTTATGAAATGGATTTTTGTAAAGCATGAAGAAAATATCACTTCCAATCCAAATGAATGTTTGGATTAGAATTAAAGCTATTTCAGTGATATTGGCAATCTAGCAATGATAAAATGTGCAGCAGCCTTATTCATAGTGCTGTGCTGAGTGCATTAAGAACAAAATTACATGGAAAAACTAGATTGTTTTCCTGATGAAAATGATTGTTAAATATTGAGGACTAAATTGACATGTTTATAAATTTTTAATTGAATAGCAGGGGAATAGACTTAATGAATTTTAAGACCCATTTATAAACTTAAGGACTTATGATACCCCTTTGAAATCTGATGAAAGCGTAGCCCCAGGAGTATTTGTATACTTGTGTGTGCTCAGTTTTACATATGATTTTGGCTGGAACACACATGCTTCTAAAGCCATGGTTCCTTCTGTCAATTACTTGAAGGTTAAGAATGTATCAAACCCCCTAAAGTATTGATATGAGGCATATTTGAAATGATCACTGAATGGTATAGGTATCTTTTTAACCAAATGCAGAAAATTAAGTGATGAAGGAAAATAGCTGACTTGAAATTAGAGCATAGGTTTTCCTTTAATTTGATTTCTATGACCTTAATTTATCTTTCTCCTTTACTAGGTATACGCAGCAGTGTTATGGCAACAAGCTAAAGATAACAGACAAAATTCTACTGGAAAAGCATGTTTTGGCGCTTCTCTCCCAGAAGAAAGACTTAATGACTTTAGTGATGAGCAGATTGGACAGTTGCAGGAACTGATGCAAGAAGCTACTAAACCCAATAGGCAATTTAGTCTTCCTGATTCTTCAAAGCCGACATGTTAGTAAATACAATAAAGTTTAACAAGACATAAAACCTAGAACTTATTTCACTTATCTCACTTATCATTGGCTTTAAAATATATTATGTATTTAAAATGTATAAATGTATTGAGAATAACTAAAGTTTATTATTTCAGTTTTGAATATTTTTTCTTTACTTTTAATGTATACAAATGAAATATATGGATCAAAATCACTAGTAGGCATATTGGAGCGTGTTATGACATTAGTGAAATAGCAGTAGGTGCTAGATGGACATTTATTTTTGGTCTAAACAAGAAAAGCTTAAAAATGAACAAATTTTACTGATAATTTACTTGTATATAAATTTGTTATAAATGGTATTCTGTTACCCTTAGGGAGTTTCTTTAACTTCATAGGTTAAATAGATCTCTATAATGATGGGTATATAATTCCAACAAGTTTATTATTAGACATGTTGTCATTCTGAAAGTTTCATCATTTCTACTGTAATAGTACATATTATCATTTAGAATATTTCCTTCTGAACACTATTTATTCACTAAGATTCAATATCATGCTATCATCTGCATAATAGGTAATACCAAGTATGTTTCCACAGTGTGTAAAACAAATGACCCTTTAAATTAAATTATTGGCACTTGCTTTGAAAAATATAATTATAGTTCAAATAGTTGGGGAAGTTAAAAACTGTTTTGTACTAAAGTTGATTTATAAATTTATAAAATCAAAAAATAAAATATACATTAAATGTGCATATGCCTTAATGGAGGAAAGAATATTCTCTTCAACAATTTTTTTTGAAAATGAGATTTCCACATGCAAAAGAATGAGATTATACTTTCCTAATTGTTAGTAATGAAATACACATACAAAAACAAACTTAAAATGGAAATGAGGTAGCTAAAACCACAAAGTCTAAAGACTCTTAGAAAAAAATATGGAATCTTAGAGATGATAAAAATGCCTGTGCAGTAGCAACAACAACAACAAAAAACACCAAAAGTTGACTTCATCAGAATTTAGAAGGTTTTTGTTTTTTTGTTTTCTGTGGTCTGGGCTTGAACTCTGGGCCTGGGCCTGGGCACTGTCCTTGAGCTGCTTTTGCTCAAGGCTAGTGCCCTACCACTTGAGCCACAGTGCCACTTTCGGCTTTTTCTGTTTATGTGGTGCTGAGGAATTGAACCCAGGGCCTCATGCATGAGAGCAAGCACTCTACCACTGAGCCACCTTCCCAGCCCTCATGAATTTAGAACTTTTGTAGGAAAGTATCAAGAAAGTGACAAACTACCAAATAAGAAAAGGTACTTGCAAATTGTATTTATTAAGCTTTGTATCTAGAATACATAATGAACATTATACCTCACCAACAAAAAGACAAATGACTCCCCCAAAAGACAACACACACAAAAGCACCAGGTAAAAGTCTACTGTGGAAAGGTCTCCAAAGAACAAATATTCAACATCATCAGTCATTAGGAAATAAAAATCAAAACCACAGTGAGATACTGCTTCACAACCACCAGTTGGCTACTAATAACAGTCCCCTAAGATAACAAATATTAGCAAGAAAGGGAATTGGAACCCTGGTTCTTTCATGGTGAGAATATAAAACCCTATAAACATTGCAGAAAACATTCCTCAAAAAGTAAAACGTTCATCATATGATCCAGCTAATGTGCTTGTAGACCTATGCCCTGCCTAATGAAGTGCCCACTCCGTTCATAGTACATAAAAGTGATATACTCCTGGAAAATTTAATCAAGAAGAAAAGACAAGAATACATACCTTTACAAGAACAAAAGACACTGAGCTGGCACCAGTGGCTCACACTTGTAATCCTAGATACTCAGGAGGCTGAGAGCTGAGGATTGTGGTTCAAAGCCAGCCCAGGCAGGAAAGCCTGTAAAACTCTTATCTCCAATAAACACGCAGAAAACCGGAAGTGGCTCTGTAGCTCAAGTGGTAGAGTGCTAGCCTTGAGCTGAAGAGCTGAGGGACAGGGCCCAGGCCCAGAGTTCAAGCCCCATGAAAAGACACATTTTAAAAAAACATGATGGTTAGTCTAAAGGATAGTTCATTGGCATGAAAGTAATTAAATCGATAAAGAATTTCCAGAAAGAAAAATCCAAGCCTAAGTAACTTTTTTAGCACTATGAAATATTCTGGGCTAAATTAAAGTTCTTCCAGACAATAGAATAAAGAGGCAGAATCTCTAATTCACTTGATCAGATCAGCAAATATTTAGCTCCAAATAAAGTTTGAGAATGGAAAAATTACTCACTGTACCCCCCTATCACTTTATCACTTTGAGCTACAGCTCCACTTTTGACAAGCTTATGTGTGCACGTGTGTGTGTATGTGTGTGTGTGTGTGTGTGTGTGTGATTAATTGGAGATAAGGGTTAAAGACTTTTATACCCAGGCTGACTTTTGTGTGTGTGTGTGTGTGTGTGATTAATTGGAGATAAGGGTTAAAGACTTTTATACCCAGGCTGACTTCAAACCTCAATCCTGAGATCTCAGCCTCCTGAGTAGCTAGAATTACAGGCATGCACCACTGGCTCCTGGCCCAATAAAACACTCTTAAACTCAGTGTGAAAGGCACTTTTCAATTCAATTACAGGGTTTCCACCAAACATCTGCAGCAAACATAAGGAATCCATGAAAGTATTCTCTTTGATACTGAGGAAAAGATAACTGTCATCACTTCTTTTCAAAAACTACTCTTTCAGAAAATACCATTTTTGTGTAGAAATTTTTATGAATTTACAAATTATTTGAATAAGAGTTTATTACATTTCTTAGATGCAAATATTGCTATACAAAATAAATTGCTTTTCTACCTAATTGGAACATAGCATGTAGAGTTATAAAAGTATTTTGTCAACAAATACTGAATACAGAAAAGTTAACCAAGGATTTTCTGGTAGACATTGTAAACATTTAAAATTTAAAGATGCTAAAGACTTAGAGGCACTCAATGCTCAAAGATTGGATGATTCAATATTCTATACATTTTAATTTATCATTAAAAGTCCTGTAGTTTCTTAAGCTCTGTATATTCTAGATATTAGGCTTTTGTATCATATAGCTAGCAAAGATCTCCCATTCTGTAGGTTGTCCTGTTAACTTGTTCTTTGTCATGCAGAAACTTTTTAGTTTGATGTAATCCCATTGATCAATTCTTTGTTTGATTTGCTGAGCTTCTGGCTATTTACTCAGAAAGTTCCTTCCTGTGCTGAGGTTCTTAATGTTTTTCTTATTGCTGCAGGGAATAGTTTCTTGGTTTCATGTCTTACATTGTGGTCTTCAATCCATTTGAATTGATACTAGGACAAGATGATAGATAGGGATCCAGTTTTCATGTCTCTGCATATGGATATCCAGTTTTCCCAGCCCCATTTGTTGAAGGCTGTCTTTCTTCTAGCCTATGTTTTTGGCTTCCTTATCAAACATTAGATGGCTATAGGTTGGTGAGTTTATTTCTCAGTCTTGTTCCATTGTCCTCAGGCCTGTTTTTGAGCCAATACCAACTTGTTTTCATTACTATAGCAATCTTCAAATAATCAGTAACTCAATTAAAAAATGAACAAATGAGACTTCTCAGTAGAAGAAGTAGAAACGGCCAACAGATTTTTGAAGAGATGCTCAACATCTCTGGCCATAAAGGAAATGTAAATCAAAACAACACCAATATTCCATCTCACCCCTTCTGGCCATCATCAAGAAAACAGTAACAGATGCTGGCATGGCTGTCGGCAAAAAGGAACCCAATTACTTTGTTGGTGGGAATGTAAGCTTCAACCCCTCTGGTAAGCAGTATGGAAGTCCTTCAAAAAAATGAAACAAAATTAGTAATTCACTCTTGAACATTTATCCAAAAGATTATAAACTAGGATGTAGCAAAACTACCAGCAAAACCATGTTCATTACAGCACTATTCACCATAGCCAAGGTATGGAATCAGCCCAGATGCCCCTCAGTGGGCAGAAGGATCAAAGAAATATGGTTTACATATACACAATTGAATTTTACTCATCCATTAGAAGGAATGGTATTGCATTATTTGCAAAGAAATGTAAGGACCTGGAAAAAAAATTAGGTTAATGAAGTGAGCCAGACCTAGGGAGACAAAGGATACATGTTTTCTTTCATAAGTGGAAGCTAGAATTCATTCATAATTGTATAAGCACATTAATAATAAATGTATTAACCAAAATATGGTTGAATTCGAACAGTGTGATCCCTTAGGAAGACTTAACTCACAGTTCCAGGAAACAGGCACTAGAAAAGGGAGGGTGGGATGAATGAAAGAGAATGCAGTCATAAGATCCAAAGGAAGCTGGGCACCAGTGGCTCACACCTATAATCCAAGCTACTCAGGAGGCTGAGGTCTGAGGATCACAGTTAAGCCAGACATGTAGGAAAGTCTGTGAGACTCTTATCTCCAATTAACCACCAGATAACCGGAAGTAGCACTGTGGATCAAGTGGTAGAGTGCTAGCCTGGAGCTGAAGAGCAGGGGGACAATGCCCAAGCCCACAGTTCAAGCTCCATGACCGACAAAAAAAAAAAAAAATCCAATGGATATTTTATAAAGTTAAGAAAATTGAGGGAAGGGATGGGCTGGGAGGGATGGGGGAGAATGATGAAAGGGACGACATTGATCAAGATGCATGGTGTTTATAAACTGCTTTGAATGGCAGCTCCTTTGCAAAACTACGTATGATTTTAAAAAGGAAATGGTATTTGAGAAAAAATAATTCTGTGGTTTCAACACAATCACCATCAAAATTTCAGATATTTTCATTATAAACCTTAAAATTTAAAGACAGAATTGCAAAGGATCAGATCTAAGGAAACACTTTTAAGAACGATGAGTTAGGAAATAGCTTACCAGTATCAGAGAAAGTTTAGTGAACGATGGGCTATGGATGTAATTGGTGAGCAAGCACAGACGTAGCATGTGCAAAGTCCTGAAGATGGAACCCCAAAGCAGAATTAATTCATGAGAACTGCAGTTATAAGGTAGTGTAGCCTTTTATTACATAGGCTCTTCATAGCAATGATTAGTTACACTGAAATGACATATAAGACTATATATTTCAGTAAATCTGGGACTTTTATTTTTTCAATGCTGAAGATGGAACCTATGGCCTTGAACATTCTAGCTAGGTCCTCTAACACTGAGCCACAGCAGCACCACGTGGGCCTTTTTGTGAGAAAACAATCCTTGGTGTTTAAAATTATATGTAGGTTTCTTAAAGATCAGATAAGGAAGGCAAATCAATGCTTCAAGAAAATAGCAGGAAAAAAATTAGAGAAAATCTTCAAAATATTGCTGGAGGACAGCACTTTTAAAACACAAGCACTGATTGTAAAGGAAAAATAAATATATGAATATAGCAATGTGGTACTTCATCAAAATCAGTAAAGAATGCAAAAAACAAGACTAAGGGTACAAAGGAATGAATAATCATAACACAATGGCAGAAGACATTTACCTCAGAAGGAGGTAAAATAAAAAACAAAAACAAAAAGCCCCAAAGTGATTAAGAAATTCCTATCTTCAGTCTGGGCATGGTGGTATGTGTTTGTAATTCCAGCTACTCAGGAATCAGAGATTTGGAGGATCTGACTTTGAAGCCAGCCTGAGCAAAAAGTTAGCAAGAGGCATACATGACAAAAGAAGTCAGCGTTACCACATCTCAACAAAGAAAGTGAGTACATGTGTTTGTGAACATACATAATCC